GGGAAGCTGTTTCTCAGTGTCAAGTGGTGACCAGCTCCCCTCTGACTCCTCCCCCGCCCCATAGTAAAGACCTGTCCTGTGGATGAATGAGCATTTAATAAGCACCTACTGTCTGCCTAGCTGTTCTGGGTACTTTACCCATGCCATTTTGTTTGGTCCCACAAACAACCCCTCAAGGTTGTCCAAAAAGGACATGTGAGAGCAGCCCATGCTTGCCTGGGGCCACCCATTGCAGGATGCCTGGCCCAGGCTCCCTCCCTCAAGCCCTCAGCTTGGTTAGCTTGGCCAGAAAAAGGACTTGACCACACACGCAGACTGTCCTCTGTTTCAGCTCCCTGGAAAAATTGGTGGGAAAGGCCAAGGAGACACAGATCCTGGGGGCTGCCCAAGGAGGCTTTTCCAGGAAGCAGGGCTGCCCTGTCTGAAGCCTTTGGGGGTTGGAGCGAACAAGCACCCACTTGATGGAAGATGGTCCCCAGGGGTTCTGCTGTTATGGGAAAGTGAGCATGGTTCTGGGCTAAGGGGCTAATGGGACAGTGTGAGAAGCTCCTCTGCCCCCAGACCGCCAGCCCAACAGATGCCTGGAATTCCAGTGATTTAGTCATTGGTAGTGAGCATTGCTCTTGGCTTTTCTTGTAAAATGCAAATCTCCTTTGAAAAAAGGGCAAGAAGATGAAATCCCGGACCCAATAGTAGGATAAACTTTATGGATTGTAAGTGATAGAGGCCCCAGTGCAGGGCAACTCAGAGGGGCCACCCGACTGAGAGCTCCCCAAGAGATCGACTGAGACCTTTGTTGGGGCCCACGCCTCCCTCTGCCCATTCCTGCTATCTTTACCCCCTTCCGCAGGTGCTGATCCTAGGAACACTCCTGGAGAAACACCTGCATGCTAATCTCCATCTCAGGGGCAGCTTCCTGGGGAATCCAGCCTGTAATGATGATGGTGATGATGGTGGTGATGATGGCGATGGTGATGATGGTGGTGATGATGGCGATGGCGATGATGAAGATAGTGATGGTGACGACGATGATGGTGATGGTGGGGATAACAGTGATGACAGTAGTGTTCGAGCTGCCCCAAGACCACACCACAGAAACTTATTTTCTCACAGTTCTGGAGGCCGGAAAGTTTAAGAGTAAGGTTCCAGCACATTTGGCTTCTGGCGAGGGTCCTCTTCCTGGCACGGCCCTTCCTCTGAGCGCACACTGAGAGACCTCCTCTTCAAAGAAGACCATCAGTTCTGTTGGGTCGGGATGCCACTTAATTACCTAAGACCCTGTCTCCAAATACAGTCGCATCGAGGTTAGAGCTCCCATATAAGAATTTCGGGGGACACAGTTCAGCCTACAGCAGGGACTGATTACAATGACAACCACAGCAGTGTTGATGATGCAGATGGTAGTGGTGGTGGTGGTGGTGGTGGCAACGGTGATGATGATGGTGGTGGTGGCGGTGGTGCTGATGGTGGCAGCTGTGGTAGTGATAATGATGTGGTGGTGATGATGACACCTAACACTTATGAACACTGGCTACAGGCCTGACACTCCTTTTTTCATTTTACATGGTATAACTCATGTAATCCTCACAAAAATCCTGAGTCAGGAGCTCTTCTTCAGAAAGAGAAACCACTCCTCACAGAGACTAAGCCCTTGCCTAAAGTCACACGAAGAGATCATGGCAGAGCTGGGATTAGAACCTAAGCCCCCAAGCCCTCACCCAGAGTTTTTTCCCTAACGTTCTGTGGTCTTGCTGTAAGGGGCCAGTGACACAGGGCTGCATATCGGGGAGGCGTTTGGGCAGAGGGGAGTCCAGCCCAGATTCCCTGCTGGGGCTTTCTCTGATGCACAGACCCGAGGCCTCAGGGCAGGTTTGGGGGCTCCTGGTTCCTTTGCACCAACAGCTCCAGGGTAATAAGGTTATCTTCACCCAGGGGCCATTGGAGTTATTCTGGGAGGTGGGTTTCTTTGAGGAGAGGCCAGGGCATGTAGTGCCTAATGTGACATTTCCAGAGATAACTGGGTTATGGTGCTAGAGACTGGGCCTGGGGACGGCTGTATCTGCAGTTAGCCAAGTGCTGCGGCATGAGCTTGCCTGTCAAGCCTTGTGTGCTAGAAGTCATGCTGGGGTGTCTCGCGATGTTTTGGAGGCCTGACAGCAAAGGCTACTTCCATGCCACAGATACCAGAGCTTGGAAGTCTTAAGGTTATTGTGATTTTTTTGTTTTTGAGTGGGAGTCTCACTCTGTTGCCCAGGCTGGAGTACAGTGGCATGATCATGGCTCACTGCAGCCTCAACATCTCAGGCTCAAACAACCCTTCTGCCTCAGTCTCCTGAGTAGCTGGGACCACAGGCACGTGTCACCATGCCCAGCTTTTTTTTTTTTTTTTTTTAATAGAGATGAGGTCTCGCTATGTGGCCCAGGCTGGTCTTGAACTCCTGGGCTCAAGTGATCCTCCTGCCTCAGCCTCCCAAAGTGCTGGGATTACAGGTGCAAGCCACTGCACCCAGCAAGGTTATCATATTTTTAAAATAGTAATAGTAGTAGTCACAACAACAGCAGGGGAACAATAGTCACTATCAGTACTGGTAATCCAGGCACACCTTGTTTTATGGTTTCTTGAGCCTCTCAAAATGCTCAGCTTCCCAAAGTGCTGGGATTCCAGGTGTGACAACTGCGCCTGGATTCCACCATGCCTGGCCCATGGTTGGCTTATTTTAAGAAACTGTCACGACCATCCTGATCAGTTAGCAGTCATCCACATTGAGAGGAGACCCTCCACCAGCAAAAACAGCAACAAAAAACACTCACTGAAGGCTCAGATGACTGCTATCATCGTTTAAAACAATGAAGTATGTTTAAGTTAAGGGCTATCCATTTTTAAAGACATGAATCAATCGCACACTTAAGAGACTAATTTAGTGTAAGCATGACTTTTATATGCACTGGGAAACCAAAACATTTTTGTCCCATTTTATCACAATAGTTGCCTTATTGTGGTGCCTGGAATCAAACGTGCCACACCTCTTAGGTATTCCTGTAAATCATACCAATGCTAGCTGGGCATGGTGGCTCATGCCTGTAATCGCAGCACTTTGGGAGGCGGTGTCATTTAACCTCTCTGAGCCTCTGCTTTCCCATCCATCTATTCGCTCACCCATAAACCTACTGAGCACATCCCATGATGCCAGTGCCCAGGCACCCCTCCAGAGCACCAGATTTAATTGGGCTCCTGGTCACAGTCAGGATGGGGGGAGGACCATAGTGCCTGGTGGGGAGAGGGCCAGATGAGCACATCGGGCTCACCCTGCTCCCACAGCTTCTTCAGGTAAATGTCCAGGGCACTGGTGAGCCTCTGACGTGCAGCTGGAGGCCCTGGTGTGTTCTGCCAGGAGAGGATGAGGCAGAACTTTGGGAAGCCCAAGGGGCTCTGGATTGAGTATCACTTGGCCTCTGAGCCAATGTTCTTGTCTGGAATAATGCCCACTTCAAAGGATTGTCATGAGAACTAACAGGATGGCAAATGTAAGGGCCTAGCATAGAGCCAGGTGCTCCATAGACCATTTAAACTTACCTGTCAAGTAAGGAGGGTTTATTTAGAGATGCCAAGACCCATTTAGATTGCAAAACATCCCTAGACTTGAGTTCACTGAAGGGTGCATGATGCCCTTGTGTGGCTAAGACTAGATTTCTCTAGGAGAAAGGGTATCTAATCCTTTTTTTTTTTTTTTTTTTTGAGTTGTAGTCTCACTCTGTCACCCAGACTGGAGTGCAGTGGCCGCTCCCGGCCACCACAGCCTCGACCTGCTGGGCTCCAGTGTTCCTTCCGCCTCAGCCTTCCAAGTAGCCGGAACTACAGTTGCGCGCTACAACACCCAGTTAGTTTTTGATTTAGTGTAGAGATGAGGTCTCACCAAGTTGCCCAGGCGGGTCTCGAACCCGCGGGCTCAGGCAATCCACCCACCTCAGCCACCCAAGGATCAGGATTACAGGTTGAGCCACCGAGCCCGGCTGGTATCTAATTCTTGAACATGAATTGAAAAAATTCATCTTGCAGTAGCACGTTTTGAGGTTCGGGCTACTCTAATGCTGCTTTGGTTGTTGATGAGCCACTTCTGATGGGCAGCCTTCAGTTTCGACTCTGAGAATTTTAACTGGGACAGAAATGTCTCATTTTAAAAGTCACAAAGACAAGTGATGGGGAATTGTGGTGCTGCCACATGTAACGAAGGGAGACAAGCTTAGCCTGGGACTGTGAATTAAACAGCAGGACATGCCACACAGGACAATTTTACATGGTTCCACCCAGGATTCTAATTTGAGGTTCCTATAAAGGCCCTGTGGCTGCCTCCTATGGAAAGAAACTACCGCCTTTGAAGTTCTGTGCTTGCTGCCAGAACCCAGAGCAGTTTTTGTTTTTCAATAAAGGAGGTATATGTTTAAGAGGCCAAGCAGCCAGTCTATGCTTGAGCAAAAAAAAAAAAAAAAAAAAAAAATCAGAAAAACAAACACATCCAACTTTTGAAGTTGAAGATTTGAGACTATGGTAGTCAATCTCAACATGTTTTCACTTGGAACGTGGGACTCCTTTATTGAGATTTACGTGGGTAGCTAAAAAGAGGGAGAGACCAGGGTGGGCGGGACTGTGACTAGCACATGTTGCTCGTGTCTGAGCCAGGGCTGAGTGACTTCAAACATTAGGTGCACCGTATATGTACAAAACAGCTCTGAACGAACCACTTGTATATCACAGCTGTGCAGAGCAGAGAAAGGACAAGATTTCTTCCCCACAGCTTGGCTCATGCACCGCCACAAAACCCAGGAGGATCTCAGAAGTCAGGGGCATTGACCACATGCCCAAAGAACCCTGGGCCCAGGAATCTGCATTTTAAACTCATTCATGGTGCTCTTGACATATCTGATCCACAGCCCTAGGCTGTCATTTAAGTCCATGTTTCTCAGATTTCAGGATTTCACAAACCAGACTTACAAAAGGAATCTTCAAGACTCACTTTAGTTGCCAATTTATTGTCTTGCTAAGAGCAATGGAAAGAGAAACCACCTCCTCTCACCATCGTTTCGTAAAGCTTTATGGATATTTGGCTTTGGGAAAACTCCCTGAACATGACCTTCATTGTTCAGTTTGCTTGGAAAGCTGTGCATATCATCACGGTCCAGTCTTTGGGAATCCCAAGAGTCTCTGGGCAACATTTCAGAGTGAGAGGGGCTTTAGACGAGGCTTACTAGAGAAAATCACTGTCTTCCACTCTTTTATTATAATATATATGTATATATAGATGCAGATCTGTTTTTGTACAATTGATTCTGTCAAATAACCAGACAAAGGCATTCTCCTGGAAGTTCTCTCCACAGTCGGCTCAAGCAAAACTGGGTGTTTATGCACTTCATGGCCTGGCCAAACTTGAGACTTCATGAGTGAGTTCGGTTCTGAGGTCAAACACACAATTCGACATACACTAACTGGGCTAAGGTGGTAAAGTGGGCTGAAAGAAACCACAGGATTCAGCACAATTAAACTGTGTATTTTGTTTGCATTAGAGTCACAGTGTGAGCAGCAAATACTGTGCGTGTCTCAGCTCTTGTGTGTGGTGCATGGGGCTTCTTGACAGCTAAGGTGACTGTGCAACAGGTGGACAGACAGCTGGCGCCATCTGCTGGAGGCTTCCTGAGGGCTCACTTTTTCTCTGCCTCTCCTTTCTTGGGTTCTTGCTTCAGCTTGTAATCAGCTAGGGCAGCCTTGATCGCATCTTCTGCCAGCACTAAAGATAATGGAAGGAGAGAGAGCCTATGACACTACGTGATGGTCTTGGGAACAGAACCCTGAAGAGCTGCATGGCAGTGGTGCTGGCAGGCCCTTCACAGAGTAACCTAGCAGGAGAGTGAGGAGGAGCCGGGCAAGACAGCAGCACTGCCTGGGCTGAGCACCTTGCTGGCGATTAGGGTTGAAACATCTGCGATCTGGTTAGTTCCTCAGCCTCTGGGAATCTAGTTTCTATTCCACAGAACTGGGATAATCATTCACTCATTCATTCTTTTGAGTTGGGGTCTCATTTTGTCACCTAGGCTGGAATGCAGTGGCACATTCATGGCTCACCACAGCCTTGACCTCCTGGTCTCAGGCAATCCTTCTGCCTCAGCCTCTCAAGAAACTGAGACTACAGGTGTGCACCACCATGCCTGGCTAACTTTTTGGTAGTTTTGTAGAGATGAGGTCTTGCTATGTTGCCCAGGCTGCCCTCAAACTCCTGGGCTCAAGCAGTCTTCCCTCCTTGGTCTCCCAAAGTGCTGAGATTACAGGTGTGAGCCACCACATCTGCTTTTCTTGTTGGGATAGTGTGAGAACTTACAGAAAATATCTGACATCTAATAGGGACACAACAGATATTACTTCTCACCTATTCCCATGAAGGTCTGGAATAAATGTTAATGCTGGTTAAGCATGCTGGCATAACTTAGGGCATGTCAATCTGTTGATGACATAAGCCAAGAATAAAACCTGTCGATGGGATGGCATCTATCACTTCACCCTCTGGTGATCCCAAGTTTGAAAACTTTTGTTTAGGAGTCAACATTCAAAGTAAGGGTACAGGGGAAAATAAAAACAGAGACAAAATGACAGCAGAAAGCAAGTAAACAGCAGAGAGCATCAGACCTACTAAAAAGGCCTACTAAAAAGGCCTACTAAAAAAGGCCTACTAAAAAGGCGTGGTTTTTTAAAACCATGTGAAAGTATTTACAACCTACAAGCTTTCTTTGTGGGTAAAATTCCAGTTCAAGTGGAAATAACTTGGGTCTTACCAGGCTTCCTGAAGAATGGGTTAGCATGTCCCTACCCCAGCACCTGGCTCATCTGCTGTGAGTCTTACCCTGACAAGAGGTGGCTCTCTGCTGAATTTTAACTAATTCGGTCATTAAAACCCCCATCAATATGTTAAGTCTACTATTTTCATTCTTTTTTTTCCTGAGAAGTTTAAGAAAGGATGGAAGAATGCAGTGGATTTAATACAGAGATCAAACTGGAAAGCCAAGAATAAGTCCTAGGGCATCTGGGCTTTGTTTTGGGACAGCAGAGAGAGAAGATATACACAATTGGGCTTAGTCATTTCATATACACAGATGGAATACACAGCCAACAGGATCATGGAGAAAACAGAATTTCCTTCTCTGCTGGAAATAGCACAGACTCTGGAATCAATTTTGGGGTTGAATTCTGGCTTACTCTCTTATTAGTCATGTGACCTAGATGCCTTATGCTGGGTCTGCACCTTCTCATCTATAAGGGGAAGTAGCAACACCTACTGGGAACTGGAAGATGTTTCCGAGGTTGAAAAACAGTGCCCCTCGAGTGCTTGTATGATGCCCATTACACATCACCTCCTGCCACTACTCTGTCACAGATAAATGTGAGACCACGGAGGCTCTGACACTCTGAAGGTTTTTAAGGACAGACTCAGGAGTCCTGATTCCCTGGGGTTTATAAAGATGGACTCCATGACCTGGGATGACTCTGTCGCAAATGCAAATTGAAATCACTGCCAAGTGTTTCTTTCTGTTTTGTTTCTGCAGGGCAAAGACTTACTGGAGCAGTGCAGCTTCACGGGAGGCAGGCAGAGCTCCTTGGCAATATCTGTGTTTTTGATGTTCAAAGCTTCCTCCACCTGAGAGGCATAAGGGAGAAGTTTTAGCAGAGCTTTACCTTGGGAGGGTTCAGAGATAAAAAAGGAAGGCCAAAGAGGCCCTCAGAGTTGGTGGGGACAGGATTTAATAATTCAAAACAAAGGGCTGAGGGCTTTCTCAGGACACCTACTTGCCTGTCAAAGCTGCAGCTGGGACTATCAGGTATTAAGTACACACACCTGCACTGCTTGCCTGGGGTAAGCAGGGATAGCCAAGACACTTCCACAAGCGAGGAACAGAACCTGTGCCATGTAGAACAAAGCCCCACTGCCTTAAAGGAAGCCAGGTTTCCTTGCTTGCTCCATCTGACCATGCCCCAGTCCCTAGCCCCACTTGATTATGATTCAAGTTTTCTTCCTGGAAACTCAGATGGGAGACCTCAAGGTGGAAGAAAGGCCCCCTTTCCCCACCTTCTGGTCACAAACCGCAGCCCCCTGAATGCCAAGTCTTGGGGGCATGAGTGCCTTGTCTCATTTCCTCTTTCCCTGAGAACAGCTCCTGACAAATCACTTCAAAGCCACCTCCTATCAGGTCAGGGCTATGTTTCCTTGGCCCACAGGAGCCTGGCAGCCAAAAGGCCTGAGCCACTGGCAGCAGGTGGCATGTGGTCTGGCAAACCGCTCTGCTGTGGGTCTGGCCAGTTCCCTCCCCAGGCATGCTCCTCCATGGCTCAGTTTCCTGAACTGGGTGCCTTGGGGCAACAGAGGTGAGTGCCCTGCAGGTTGGTTTTTCTGAGGTTTTAACAGGAACTGGAATTTAGAAAGTTCAGCTCTTCAAAGAATCAGGGACCTTTGCCTCTGCAGTTGCTGGAAAAAGAGGCTTTGGTACAGAAAAGATGCTTTAGTCCTTTCTTATCTCCACCCTCTGGGGGCCCGTGACCAGTCACCTGGATCGTTGCTCTTATTTGTTTGTTAACTTTGCCCCTACTGTTGCTGTGTTTTTGATTCTTTAATCTCTTTTAACGCGGGCTAGTTTATTTTACCAACCTGTGTAAGCTACCTGGAATCCTTCCTGAAACATGATGGGAGGAAATAACAAGAAAATAACCACTATATAATAACTCCTAATCTGAGAAATTATAAGAGTATCAGCAATAAGAGTATCAGAGAAAGTCAAAGATTTCTTTTCCATTCTATTTTGTTGGAGGAACAGGTGAGGATCTTTTTTCTACATAATTAACAAAACACCATCCAAACTAACAAATAAAAATGATCAACAACAACAAAAAAACCCTGTATGCCACCTAGAAGAATGATCCATAACTCCCAATTTGGAGAAGAATTTAATCAAAATCCAGATAGGAGACATTTTTAAAAAATCAGAATACTTTTTAAAAATCATGGTCCCTTGTTTGTGACTCATTAGACCCTCCAAGAGCCAGGTCTAGAGAATGCCATTTCATTCTGTCAAGCTTTCCAGCAAGCTTACCGTCTTTCCTTTCACCCACTCAGTGGCTAAAGAGCTGGAGGCAATTGCAGACCCGCAGCCAAACGTTTTAAACCTGGCGTCTACAATCTTTCCCTTTTCATCCACTTGAATCTAGAAGAGAAACAAGACTTACATGACCCCTGGGGCCACCAACTGGATCCCGACATCCCGGCCTTCCCCAAGAGCTCTGGGCTTACTTTCCACACTGTGTTATGGCATTAATTACTAATTTTGTGTCAGAGAGCTCAGTGATAAAAAGTGACACATAGAAACAACTATGCAGGCCTAGCTGGTCAAGATCAGTTGGAAAACATGCCCCTCCATGCCAGTTTTGCTTTGTTTGGCAACCCTAGCCTGCATTTTGCCTATTAACTCCTATTTGAGGAAGTTTGCTCACAGCTTCTGGGGCAATCTGCTTCTTTAAACACTGAATCTGAATTAAAGGTCTCTGGCTGTATTACTTTTTTCTTGGGCACCAAATTGCACTTAGTAGTTCTCTCCTGTCTCATTTCTGCTTTCTGAGATAGGTATGAAGACCTCTGGCAAGCTGCCCATCCACCATGAAGGAGCAGACTGTAGCTAGAGCTACAGTTTATCCAAAGCACCAGACATTAACTTCATGTTGCTTCCAATTTGGGTACAGGCTTGATTTATTGTGTTTTTTGTCTTGAGCATTGCTGGCTCATTGAGATTTTCCTTTTATCAGTACAATTAACAAAACTTTTACTTGATTCAAGTTGAAATTTTAGCTGATACAGTCAGTAGAAAAATGAGATTAGTTTTCTATTTCAGAAAAGCCCATCATAGTATATATTAGAAGGTCCAGAATTGGGCCCCTGCTCTAATCGTTTGTAATAGACATGTCCGGCCTATGGGCCACATGCAGCCCAGAACAGTTAGTAATGTAGCCCCATAGAATCTTTTAACATCATGTGTTTTTCTTAGTATTTAGTTTCTTTGTGACCCTATGAGTATATGTATATACACTATGTTATATAACTTATGTGTGGCCCAAGATAATTCCTCTTTACTCGATATGGCCCAAGAAAACCAAAAGGCTGGATACTCCTGGTTTATAACATCCCACCTCACAGGAATAAAGATGGAAACCAAATGAAATGTTGTACGTGCAAATGCTTCATAAGCTATAAAGCACTAGGTAAGCAAAGAGATTACTGTTACAGAGGGAACAATGCTATGGAATGCTATTACCATTAAAGATGAAAAGCAGATAGTACCTGTAATTTCATTACATCACCACATGCTGGAGCACCCACCAATCCAGTTCCAACATTTTTAGAAGTCTTGTCAAGGGATCCTACATTTCTAGGATTTTCATAATGATCAACGACCTGAAAAGACAGAGTTAAGAGAAATGATCACTCTATTGGCAAGCTCCTCACAGTCAGCAATCCAAGCCTGGCAAGCAATCACTAAGCACCAAATTTCACATGAGTAGAAAGGCCTGTACTTGTCAATGAGAATCACTTGTGATCCAAACCCTTTGTATTTCTCTCTGACTACCTTTGCAGATTTAAAATACTGAAAAATGCTGGGCTCGGCGGCTCAGCCTGTAATCACAGCACCTTGGGAGGCTGAGGTGAATGGATTGCCTGAGCCCGCGAGTTCGAGACCCACCTGGGCAACTTGGCGAGCCCTCGTTTCTACAATTAAAAAAAAAAAAATCAGCGCATGCCTGTAGTTCTGGCTACTTGGAAGGATCGTGGGAGCCCAGCAGGTCGAGGCTGCAGTGGCCAGGAGCATGCCACTGCACTCCAGTCTGGGCGACAGAGTGAGACTCCAACTCAAAAAAAAAAAAAGAAATATTAAAAAATATCAGCGAAATCATGTCTTAGTGCCATAGGGTTTTTACACAAATAATGACTAGACTTTTACCCATTTATGTCACCAAATTTGGGCTCAAACAGCAGTTTTATTATTTTCAAATAAAACTCATTCGCAAAGGATGATTACTCCTTACAAATTTAAAAAATTAACTATGGCCTAGGAATGGAAAGTTTTCTTGGAAGCCTCAAGGTGACTGCTACAGAGGGAACAATGCCATGGAATGTATACGTTTACCTTCCGGTTGAAAACAAAAACAGTGCTGTCACTGCGTTTCAGGGCCCTGACATCACTGGGCGGCAGCAGCGCAGTGACAGGCTGCGAGCCCAAGTTCCTTCAGGGAATGCCCTCAGCAAAACACACCCCCGGGTCGGGAAGGAGTGAAGCCCTTAGCAAACAATAGAAGCCAGATCAGAGGAAACATCCGTTCAGACTAGTACACGGGCCTTCATAACCTTGAGATTTGTTTACCAGTTAGCAGCAAACACACTGGTCTTCCAGTCCCCTTTCTCTCCCCACCTGACTACCTGACTTGGATTTGACTCCAAGCCCCAGGACACACAAGACAATATCTAAGCTGGACATTTTGCTCCACGTTGGCTCACTGCACTCTTCAGTTGTTTCCCGTGTGAAAGTTACGTCTAAGAGACTTTACGCCCCCAGAAGGTAAGGGGATGCAAACTACGCGTCTATCCCTCCCTCCCACTCACTATCAAAACCAACCAACCAAACAAACAAAACAAATTCCCCCAAAACATTGCGTTATACTTCTTGGTTTCGAGCCTGACTCCCTTCGGAAGCCCTACCTCCTAAAACAGTAATGGCACCATAAATGGCCTCCACGTATTGGGTTTATGTGTCAGGGAGCATGCTGCGTATTCCACACACAATATCCTGAGGCACCCACTTTACACCTGAGGAAACAGGTTCAGCAAGGGGCACTGACTTGCCCAAGGTCACAGAGCCAGGGCGGCGGTGAGACTGGAGCCGGAGCACGCGCCGGGGGTGCGTGCGTGTTTCTGGACTCAGAACGGCAAAAACAAAAAGGACCCTCCTCCTCCCTGGGCTGTCGGTCAGGCGGCCGGGTCCACTGGAAGTCGCAGCCCGATCAACGGGCTGTTATTTATATAAGTCGCGGTTAGTGTCACCGCTCAGCAAGGGAAAGTGCTTCAAGGCAGAGACGTGGGAGGGGGAGGTCCCCATCCTAGCTTGCGCAGAACCCGGCGGCCGCTCTTCCCTGCCCGGGCCTGCGCCAATTCGGCAGTCTGAGCACCCCGTCGTCAGTCCCTACCTTCTTGTGATAGAGCCGGGCCGGGGCCGACAACTCCCGGGCGGGCAGGCGCGGGCTCCGGAGCAGCAGGGTCGACGCCGCCCGCCGCAGACGGCCAGCTCCAGCCGCCGCCATCTTCCCGGCACACGCCTGCGCCGGCTCGTAGCGACGCAGAAGGGGAAGAACGCGCCCCTCTGACGTCACTGCGACCCCGCGCCCGCATCCTCCCGCTCCGAGCACGTGTCCGCCCGATGGCCCCGCCTTGGCCACGCCAATTGGGGGCGAGCGGGCGAGTGGGGCCCAGAGCGGGAAGGTCTGAAATCGCAGCGGAGCTTGTCCTAGGTGCTGGATCCTGGTGGGGGAGGACCTGAGGCCGCTGGGGTGCGGAGCTAAGCTCGTGTTCACAAAGCCATCTCTGGAGTGTGGCGCTAAGGTCACCCAGTCCACCTTTCCTAACCCTATTTTGCCCTTGAGAAACCCGAAGGTCAGAGTGGTTGAGTAACCTATCCAAGGCCGCTCAGAGAGGTTCAGTTTGGATTCGAACTTGAATGAGAATCCTGGTTCTGCTCCTTCCTGGCTGTGTGACTGGGCGAGTGGTATCCGCTCGCTAAGCCCGTATCCTGCCTTGTGTACGCATTCAAGGACAATTCTTGCATCATGGGGCAAGTACGATGAGTACCTACTGTGTGCTGTGTGCCAGACTCAGGATCCAGTGGAAAACAAAACAGGCAATTCGTGCCCCGAGGTTGCTGATGACGGGGAAAGGCAATAAGCGAACACAACACATCAAAAGTGGGAAGGTATTAAGGAAACGAACACCATGTCCTGCTTGGAAAAAAATGTGTTCGTGTTTGTACTTCTCTATAAAACAACAGAAAGCTCAATCTATATGCCAATGCTTAGTAATTAACTAAGAGTTTCTAAAGAAATGCCTATTCATGTAATATCTTGCTATTGGTGCACAGGTTAGGATCTTATAAAACAGGAAAACCCACACATGTATTGAACGCCTGCTAGAGATGAGGGGTTTCCATAAAGGGGAGGAATCTCTTCGGGAAACGAATTTTCCTCCGTAATGGTGTCATCGACCCTTCCCCGAGCCCTTGGAGTTTTCTCAGCGTTTGAGGCGCAGTTGCTGGGGAGACGGCACCACGCGGGACCACAGTAAGCGTTGGTAAGGCAGGGATACCGCTTGAGAATCACTTTGACCTTCTCAAGATGGCGCCGATCCCGTGCCTACAGACACCGCGCCGGCTCCGGGACTTCCGCCGTGGCCTCCACTTTCTGCCTAAAGACCCAACTTCTGTCCGAAGTTGTGACGGAATACGTGCCACGTTAGTGAGTTTGTTTTCTGCTGGTGGAGGCGTTCATAAGGCTGGAGATACGAGACGAGCGCCGTATATTCGGAGGTTCCCCTTCCTCGGAGGCGAGGAGACGGAGTTTTGATCAGGCTCCGTCGCGGGCAGCCCCGACCTTAGACGGCCCTCCGCGGCCGCGGGAGGACCCCGAGTCTCTGGGAGCGCAAGATGGCGACGGCGGCCGAACCCGCGGCTGCGGAGCCCGAGGCGGAGCCCGAGGCCGGGCGCAGGGCTGACGGGGAGGAGGATGCGGCCAAGGCGGCTGAGACGAGAGGGAAGGCGTCGTCGCGGGCGGTGGCCGCCGCGACGAACACGACCCCGGGGCCCGGCTGGGATCGGCCCGAGGAGGACGTGAGCGAGAGCGACGGCGACGAGGAGTTCGCCATGGCCTCCTCCGTGGAGAGCTCCCTGGGAGAGTACGAGTGGGAGTACGACGAGGAGGAAGAGAAGAATCAGCTGGAGATCGAGCGGCTGGAAGAGCAGGTAGGCCTGGGGGCGGGCGGCCGGCGCTTCCTCTCCGGTCCTGAGGTCGCGGGGTCGCGTCCCGCCTACCGGGTCCCCGGTGGCCACGAAGGCAGCAGGACCTCACGCGCTCTGTGAGTTGCGGGAGCACCTGGCGCTGCGTGCCCAAGTCTTCGCAAACGTTATCCCCGGCATCCTCGCCACGGCCCCGTGAAGGAAACCGAGCTAGCCTCACTTGGCGGGAGGAAACTGAAGCGCCTGTAGGAAAGCTTGCTCAGGATGACATGTCTTGAGAGTGGCGAGCCAGTCCTTGCACTCTGAGCCGGCTCCAGCACTCCCGCTCTTGACCACTCAGTTAAACCGTGTCCAGCTGTCGAAGTACAATCTTACTCGCAGAGAGAATGTTATTTTCTTGTAGGAATGACGCTGGTGCCATTTGGAGCGGTAGGAAAGTTGCTGACCGACCCCAGTTCAGGATGTTCCACCCCTGTGCGTGCTTGGCAAATTTCTAAACCTCTCTGAGTTTTGGCTTCCTTATCTGTGGCTTGGGAGCCACACTTCCTGCCTCTTGTAACTGTGTGAACGTTAATTAAAGCCCAGTGCTTGCAGCTGGTAATAACTTGATGTCTAATGTTGTAACCTTATGAGGTGGTGGTATGTCCTGTATAGCCCAGGGTCCCAGCAGGAAATTGGCGGCACATGCAAATTAACAATAATTTGAGAAAAGGTCAGTAAAGGGACAACTGTTTATAAAGATATGGGCAGGGAAATCAGGAGTGAAAGTTTAGGATCCCACAGCTGGCAACAGCACGATTTCGTGCTGATAGTTAGGCCTGAAGGGAGGGCGAAAGTGTTACCGGGAGAAGGGATGTTCCTCCCCGTGTGAGACTGCTTGATGATGAGTTCTTGTGTTCATATTTGGAATGAATTTGCAGACAGACAGAGAAGCAGGATGAGCAAGTAGCTTTATTAAGCAGGGAATTCACTCCGGAGAAAGGCGAGTGGGCAGAACAACCTAGGGCAATCTGCTGCTTCTGCACCCAACTATTTTTGAGCTGTAACTTCTATTCTTAGGGTCTTTTAGGGGTGAGTTTTTCCTATAAATGGATGGTCTTGGGACTGAATCTCTGTTACTTCTCTCTCACCTCGGGTGGGGGAGTTTCAGGCCTTATAGGGTCATACCAGTATTGTCAAGGCATCAGGTGTATGATGGGGGTGGGGGTGAGAGGCTCCCTTAGGGTAGTCTTATGTTAGTACTGTTGTAATGAAGGTATAACGTAGATTATGGTTATCTTAGGTCAACCTTGGCAATTGATGCACATGCTCCAGGGGTCTCTAAGCTAGTTCTTGCCTGTGTGGTCAGCTTTACCAACCACAAGTGTCCTGGACAGATGGACTATAGTGCAGCAGGTATCTCTGATAAGGGCCTAACGGGTAGGTGTGACCTTTCCTACAACAAGATCACTTGCTTGTATGCATGGTTCTGCACCTACTGCTGCAGGCTTCAGCAAGTTTGGAACTTTCTTACAGCCCTGAAGCTTTTCCTAGTCTAACCTGCCTGCTCTATCAAAGGGAGTGACTGGCTACCTGAACAGTTGTGTGGAAAGGGCTCCTGAGGAGGGCTGCTGACAACTTGGTTCGAAGGAGGCAGCTTCAGTTTCTTGTCAGAGGTTGGAGTGGAGGCAGAAAATATCCTGACCTCCGCTTCTTCCTTTCTTTGATCTTCCGCCGAGCAAACCCACCCGAAAGCCAGAGAACCAGGATACCATAAATGTGGTCTTCACTGGGCGACATAGGACAGGGAGGAGAGGGTGGAGTGGATTTACAGGGCCAAACAGGAGAGACTGAGCACATTTTCATTTTACAGATGAGAAAACTCAGACTCAGAAAAAATGATGAGATGATATGCTTAAAGTTACTTGTGGTAGGATTTGAATTTCAAAGGTTGCCTGTGGACCAAATGCCATCCAATATGAAATCAGTCAGTGACATGAAGTTGCTCACCTAGGTTACTTTCTTAATGCTTCTGGGTGTCAGTTTCCTTACAGTGTCCCCTCAGGCACTGGTATTTTTGTTATGTTACAAACTGGTGATAACATCCTTTGGTACAGCTTGTCCTACTGATCACTACATCTGATTGTCCACGGAACTAGTTGGAGTAGGCAGGTGGGTACCATTTCTACTTTTTGTAAATAGATTTCTGAAGCTAATTTAGTTTTATTCATTCAGCAAACACAGTATGATGTGGGGTACCAGACTGATGCCCCAATCCCAGTTGATATCATTTCTTCAAACTGCTACCCTTGAACCTTTGGATGAGCTTATTATTACGTGAGGTGGGGGAGGGGAAGCTTGGGACCTGAGATGTTAAGGCCTCCATGAGGACTCACAGTCTACTTGGGAGGCAATGGGTCAGAGCAGAGGTTTCCTGGCTGCTGGTGCTTGGGAGTTGTGTGTCCTGCCATAGGTCACCAAGGGTGGGAAGGTGACCACATGGGATGGGGCCTGGCAAGTGACAGTGAATTAAGCTCCTCTGGTCTGAGCCTCTTTGTCCTGGGGTCTAGGAAATGGACTTTTTCAATTTTTCCAAACCTCCCTGCTGACTCCTCTTAATCCCATAGCCTCTGGTTCCTGCTGTAGCTGCTCTGTGGTGGCGCATAATGATGAGTAACTTCCAAATTGGTGTGTGGAAAACTTGACCTTGCCCTATTTGTGACTTCTGTTTGTCATTCTTGAGTGTATTTTATGAAAGCTGGCAATTTGTGATGGTATCTGCCCCTGTAACAAAAGCAAAGCTTTTCCATGATTTGTGTTTGTGTGGAAATAAAAATAGCATATCATAGTGCCTCAGGCAGCTTTTGTCGGTTCATGATGGAGCAGTACAGACAACATGACTTTGCAACCATGTATAGGCCAATGCCTTCCGCTCAGGGGAAATTCCTCGTGCAAGTAATTTCAGCTCTCAGAACCTCAGGTGTCCCAATTGGTAAAATGGAGGTTGTAATAGTGCTTCTCTCACAGGGCCGTTCTGGGCCTTCAGTGTTGCAGTGCACATAAATTTTCTGGCACAGTGTGGCGCATAGTAGGTTCTAAATAAAGACGCACTCTATTCTCCTTTCCCTGCCACTGCTGTGATTGCACCAGTTGTTTTCTTGCCACCAGACCTCTCCGTTACTTCTCACCCCCTTTCTAGGTACAGGTAGGTGTGGCACCTTTTTCACATACTTGGGAGTCGGGAAGTCAATAAGGAGATCATTTTGTGATTGGCTCCCTTCTCTTGCCTTAAATCGTCTTAAGTCGTTAATGATGTTCCCAGACTAGAATAGACTAGCACATGTATTTATTTGTCAGTATTGGTTGAACAACACGGAAGTGTTTCTTTGAAATGCATTTAATAAGCACTTCGAGTACTTGCCCATATATAGTTCTTCATTGTTTTGGCTTAAAAATCAGAAGTTTAGACCAAAAGCCATTGCTTGGGGCAGTTTCTCTGCGTGCCTGACTTTTATACCCTTTTCTTCTGCTACCTACTCATGGTATTCGTATGAGGGACACTAACCAGCAAGGGATCTCCCTCTCCTGCTCATGTTCCAAAGGCACATTCAGACTCAAGTGAGCGCATAGTGGTGGTGTGACAAGGAGAACCTTGAATGTTCTTCAATGATGACAGTATATATTTCTCAAACTTCACTTCTTTACTATTACTTTGTGTGACACACTTGACAACTGATTTGGAAACATCCGTGTGTCATGACAGCTCATTTAAGAACCAGAGTTTTAGCCGGGCTCGGTGGCTCAACCTGTAATCCCGTGCCTTTGGGAGGCTGAGGTGAGTGAATTGCCTGAGCCCGCGGGTTCGAGACCCGCATGGGCAACTTGGCAAGACCTCATCTCTACAATAAATAAAAAATTAACCAGGCGTGATAGCGCGTGCCTGTAATTCCGGCTACTCGGAAGGCTGAGGCGGAAGGATCCCAGGAGTCCAGCAGGTCGAGGCTGCGGTGGCCCAGAGCGGCCACTGCACTCCAGTCTGGGCAACAGAGTGAGACTCCAACTCAAAAAAAAAGAACCAGAGTTTTACTCCAGTTCTTTGATGGTACAAAGGAGAGAAACACAGCCAGCTGTGTCCATTGCTTTTTCAACCTATCATGTGATTAAGGAGTGGGTTTAACTTGCTAGGTTTTATAAATCATGTGCAGAAGAACATTGCTAAATGTCTTAAGAATTAAAAAAAAGTTATAGATTGTGTTTTTAATCTGTGATTGATACTTCTTATCTTTTTTGTATGTAATTTGATAAATACAAAGCAGATCACATCCTGTACTAAAGTTTCTCTAAGTTGCTATTTCTAAGTCAAACTGGGAGTCACAGTCCTAGATCTTGAATTCATTTTAGTTGATACAGCCAGTGCCCCTGTAGCGGGAAGACAGAGAGATCGTGACACCGAGACTGTTACAGGAAGTGGCACTTTATTACACTGGCCAGCACAGTGGGCTTGAGCGGCTAATGCGTCCAAATCGAGCCCCCCAGAACAGGAGAAGTGGGGTCTTATACCCTTGTTTAGGTAAGGGAGGGGATCTTGTTGAGTGATTACATATTTCCTTTGGAATCTTACAAGGTTGTACTCAGCAAAATCAGGTTTTTCAAAGAACAAATGGTTTTCAGGAACTTCAGGGTTGTAAACCATTAACTTCAGAAGAGGGGTTTTGGATAAGTCTGTGAATTAGTTACTATTTTGCATTTCCATGAAAGGGCCAGTGTCTGACCATTTGGCCTTTCTTAAACAAAACTTGCCTGGTGCCTGGCAGGTCTTTAAAGCTTGCAGCTTGCTTTCAAAAGGAAATACCTTTAACTGCTACCAACTCCCCTTTCTGCCACATCACCCCCTCTGTCATAGTTTTCCGTCTGCACGGGTCAGTTTCTGGACTGTCTGTTCTAGTCAGTTTGTCTATCCTGTGCTAACTCTGCTGTTTAACTTATTATTGCTAAGGCTTACTGTATGATTAGACAAATCCCCTCAC